CTTATTATTAAGTAATCTGTTGAGAATGTGAAAATACAATGCATGATGTCAATAATTCAAAATGATGAATAAGAAACAAATAGTGATGAATAAAAGAAGAATAAGAATGAAGTGGTTAATGAATATGTTTGTATCATAAACAATCAATATAATGAAATCATCAATAAAATAATAATAAAATAAAATGAAATATGAAAATTAACAACAATAATCATTAGTCATCAATTTGATTAATGAAATAATCAAAATATAAAATCAAATTCATCATTATATTCTCTCATTTCTAAATAATTTTAATATAAATTAAAACAAAATGATGAATAAAGAATGAATAAATATAAAATATAAATAAAATAAATAAATAAGAAGATAAATAAGATAAAATAAATAATAAATAATAAACAAAATAAAATAAAATAAAGATATAAAGAAATAAAATAGAAAAGAAAGATAAGAATAAGAATAAGAATATAAGAATAAAAAGAAATAAAGAATAAAAAAAAGAGTTATAAAACAAATATAAAGAATGATATATCAATCAATAAGATAGAAAAGAATAATATCAAAAAGAATAAATAAGAAAAGAATAATAATAATATAAATGATAATCAATTATAATTTATTTCTACTTCAAATTATATTGTATTTCATTTGTTATATTTTTATTTCATTCAATACCTTTTGTCAAAACATTTTCTTGGTATTGTTTTATTTTTCTTTAATTCTTCTTCACATCCACAACCATAAAAACAATAATTTCCAAATGAAGTAATTGATGATGGTATATTAATTGATTTTAATGATGAACATTCATAAAAACAACAAGTTCCTATTTCACTAATTGATGATGGAATATTAATTGTTGTTAATGAATAACATTCATAAAAACACCAATCTCCTATTTCACTAATTGACGATGGTATATTAATTGATGTTAATGATGTACATTCAGAAAAACATTCATCTCCTAATTTAGTAATTGAAGATGGTATATTAATTGATTTTAATGTTGAACATTTACTAAAACAACGATATCCTAATTTAGTAATTGATGATGGAATAATAAATTCATTAATATCTTTCTTGAAAATATTCTTTCCATTGATTATTTGTAGATTATATGATATTTCACAACTAATTAACACTGGTTCATTCATAAATATTCTTTCTTTACTTACAAATTGTAGATTTTCTATATTCATTGATGTTAGTGATGAACATTCATAAAAACAATCTTTTCCTATTGATGTAATTGATGATGGTATATTAATTGTTGTTAATGATGAACATTCATAAAAACAACAAGTTCCTATTTCACAAATTGATGATGGAATATTAATTGATTTTAATGATGAACAATAACTAAAACACCAATCATCTAATTTAGTAATTGATGATGGAATAATAAATTTATTAATATCTTTCTTGAAAATATTCTTTCCATTGATTATTTGTAGATTTTCTGGTATTTCAATACTAACTAACACTGGTTCATTCATAAATATTCTTTCTTTACTTACAAATTGTAGATTTTCTATATTCATTGATGTTAGTGATGTACATTCATAAAAACAATCTCCAAATGATGTAATTGATGATGGTATATTAATTGATGTTAATGAATAACATTTATTAAAACAATCATTTTCAACTGATTTAACTTCTGATGGTATTGTATTTCCATATTTCTTTCTATCTTCTTTTGTATATATTATATTTTTACAGATATTTCCTTGTTCTTTTTCTTGTAAATATTCTGAATAATATACTAAATACCATATTACATATTTAAATATTCTTCCATCATTAAATATTTCATCTTTTTCATTATAAATATGAAATGTTTCAATATTAGTAAATAATTTTCTTGAATATT